GGAGAAAAACAGGTGCAGTGAGCAATTCTTCCATCGATCTGCAAAGGAAGTCATGCTGGGGGTGCTGTGTATTTGCAAAGTGCTTCCAGTTCAAGGAAAGGTGCATTAGAAATCATGCTAAGCCTAAGGTTCGGAGCATAATAAGCAGGGCCCCTGTTTCCCTAAAAGGGTGGCATCTCCAAACACAAAAGCAACACTTGCTCAGAGTTTCTGAGTCCTCTGGAAAGGCTGACTCACATTTCGAGGTTCTCCTGGTCAATTGTTCCTGGGTTCCCAAGAGATGCAGCCCTTGCCTTTGGCGGTGGGAAAGAAGCTGCTCCTGGCTCAGAAAGGGGGGAGCGGCTTCCTTCTCGGAGGCTGCCTCCGCACTGCAGAAAGAATCCAGTTTCGACCCCATTTGTAACCGCCGGGGCTCAAGGCAATGGAGTCCCGGGAACTGTAGTTTGGGGTGGCCCCAGGGCTCTCAGACAGAGGGCCTTTGCAGACTGCCAGAAATAGTGCAAATGGGGTCCACTTTTAGGGTTAGGGTTAGTGCTAGGGAATCATGGGAATTGTTGTTGTTTTTTCTGAGACATTGAGCCTGCTCTGTCAGAGAGCTCTGGTGCCCCAATAAAATACAGTTCCCATCATTCCCTAACACTAACACTAACCCTAAAAGTGGACTCAATTTGCACTATTTCTGGCAGTCTGCAAAAGCCTAGAGAAGGGTAAATGTCCCACAAGCACTACAAATCCCAGAATTCCATAGCATTCAGCCATGGCTGTTCCAGTGGTGTCAGCCTGGATTATTTCGGCAGGGCTGATGCAGCCAAAGCTGCTATGTTCAAATCCAACCATCCAGATGTGTTGGATTACAACTCCCATTTTCCCCAGACAGCATAGCTTGAGGCTGGCAGATTAAGAAAAGCTGTTTCAAAGCCTCTCTTTGCTGGACATTTCTCTATATTTGGTCCAGCCTTGCTTTGTATCTCCTCCACCTCTCTGGGGGGGGGGGGGAAATTAATAATAATAATAATAATAATAATAATAATAATAATAATAATTAATAATTAATAATAATAAATTTTATTTAATACCCTGCCCCTCTGAAACCAATCCAGGTGGCTTACAAGTGATTATAATATAATAAATTATAATAATCATCTCCTATTCTAAAAAGGAACTTCTTTATCCTGGAAGAAGTCTTCCCTTACAGTCCCAGGACAGGAAAGAGGCAAAATCAAACTGGGGTTTTAAAAAATAATATTTTAAATTTGATTTTGCCTCTTTCCTGTCCTGGGACTGTAAGGGAAGACTTCTTCCAGGATAAAGAAGTTCCTTTTTAGAATAGGAGATGGGCTGTCCTAGTTTTTCCTTCATGATTCTGTATCTTTTTCCCCTATAAAGAGCTGGAGGAGATACAAAAATATTAAAAGATATATATTTTTAAAAACTCATTTCTGTTTGGAGGGCTATAGCCACAGAATTTGTGGGGTGTGTGTGGGGGGGTAAGAGAGAGTTTATTATTTATTATACATAATCTAGGCTGCAATCCTGCAATCGAAGTTACCAAATATACCATGGTTCTTTCTCAGTAGGCATGGCTAGAATTGCACTGGTAAAATAGATAGATAGATAGATTGATTGATAGATTGATAGATAACATTAGATAGATAGATAGATAGATAGATAGATAGATAGATAGATAGATAGATAACATTAGATAGATAGATAGATAGATAGATGATAGATAACATTAGATAGATAGATAGATAGATAGATAGATAGATGATAGATAGATAGACAGATAGATAGATAAGATGGGATAGATAAATAGATAAGATTGGATACATAGATACGATTGGATGGATAGATAGATAGATAGATAGATAGATAGATAAGACTGAATAGATAGATAGATAAAGATTAGATAGATTAGATTAGGATAGATAGATAGATAGATAGATTAGATTAGATTAGATTAGATAGGCAGATAGCCTAATAGGTTGGGCTGCAATCCTATATGTACATTTGGCAGGGAATAAGAAAGACTGACATTGATGGGACATACTCCTGGACAGATATTATAGGACTGCATTGTATAGGACACACACACACACACACACACACAAACATCTTTCTATCTAGCTATCTATGTGAGAGGCAACGTGGCATAGTAGTTTAAGCGCTGGATTGTGACTCTGGAGACCAGGGTTCGAATCCCAGCCCAGCCATGTAAACCCACTGGGTGACCTTGGGCAAGTCACACTCTCTCAGCCTCAGGAGAAGGCCATGGCAACCCCCCTCTGAACAGACCTGGCCAAGAAAACTCCATGATAGGGTGGCCATAAGCCCTGGGTCTCCTTTTTCTCTTGCATCTCTCCAAGGAAAAGCTTGCTTTCTTGAAATGCAGGCTGGAAAAAGCAAGCAAGGGATTCCCTGCAGATCTCCCCCTAAAACAGCAAAACTTGGAAGTCAGGGATTATTAATTCCCAGCGTGGTATAATGGGGGTCAATGTTGGACTAGGACTCTGGGAGACCAGGGTTCAAATCCCTTCTGCTCAGCCAGGGCAATCCCTTGGGTGAGCTTTGGACAAGTCACACTCTCTCAGCCTCCGAGGAAGGCAGCTAGTGGCAAATCTCAGAATCAGGCTGGCCAAGAAAACAGAACACTAGCCTGCCATTTCCACCGTGGAAAGCCAAAGGAAAGCTAAAATTCTCAAGTGAAAACAATGCAAGCTTTCATCTCTCTCAAACCTCCGCCTGGAACCTCTATTTTATTTAATAATAATAATAATAATAATAATAATAATAATAATAATAGTAGTAGTAGTAGCTGTTGTTGTTGTTGTTGTTGTTGGATTGCAACTTCCAGTAGCCACAGGAGCCGGGGAGATGCTGGCAGCTGCCGTCCCCCAAAAGTTACTTTCCCCAAGTTCTGTCCAAACAGAGCAAACAGGGCAAGACCTTGCCTGGGCAATTTTGCATCGCATGCCTTTAAGGAGTAAGACTTCTAAAACGAAGTCACTCCAAATCGTGGTTTCACGGAGAGGGTTGGTTTGTCAATTGCTGCTGTCCCCCGCCTCGATCCATGGGGAGAGGAGGGTAAGAAATAATAATAATAATAATAATAATAATAATAATAATAATAATAATAATAATAATAATAATAATAATAATAATAATAATATCATGGTTCCTTCCCAATAGGCATGGATAGAATTGTTGTACTGGTAAGACAGACAGATAGATAGATAGATAGATAGATAGATAGATAGATAG